AGATCATCAATACTGGTTTATTTCTACAACAGTGTGTTACACAAAGACCACTGTACGTGATTCCATTTATTTTCCTGTACGATATGTTATTCGCTTTGATAGTACACTTCAGTTTTGTAAATTTGCTTCTGAAATCTGTTCACTTACACTGTTGCCTAAGAAGTAGGGCAGCATTATTTATTTCCTCTAAGAACATGCTATTTATCTCTGTCTTTTTCAAATGGATTATGTTGTTTTAACAGCTGACAGAGTTCAAAAGGAAGAGACCTTAAATGTATCCCTGTATTATTGCATTAATATGCTATACTGTTATTTATTTTCTCCCCTCTAAATACTTGTCTAGTTCATTTTCAGATGAATTATTTTTGCTGACACTACACATTCAGGCTCTGTTCAAGTGTTACATATGTTCTCAGTGATTTTATTTTTCAGTTCACATTTAAAATCAAGCCAGGATTTAAGAATAATAATAATAAAAAAAATTAACTTCATTTGGTTTTGTTTTTTACAGTAAAGTTCTGTACTCTGCGATGGTTGTATTTCTGGGCTTCTATACAAACACCTCAGTTTAGATTATTGCCGAGCAGCTCAGTGCCTACTTGAAAGTAAATGTGTTTTCAGCCCCATCTCCCTGAGGAAGGATGCCTGACATGCGTAGGTATTTGGTAGGTATCCTGAAAGATGCTTTCAGGGCCCAGCATCAGCTTTTCTGTAAAAGATAGAGCTGCCTATGGATTTGTCCTAAGGTCAAGATCAAGTACTGGTATTCTTTTTTTCCACGCATATACATCTTTTATTTAATTGCTTACCCGTGGTGCAGGGATACAATCTGCAGAGATGGATTCAAGTTTTGTTGGGCCGAAAGAAAAAGAAGAAATATGCCCCTGGCTCCAGCCTCTGCTCTCTGCACTGTTTGTATGTGGTTTATAGTAACTTTTTCGTGTATGCATGCAACGAACAACAGTCTCAGAGCAGAGATTCAAATCAAGTCTGCTACATAACCAGAACGCTGTTCTCTATTAAGCACATTGAAAGAGTTCTGCAGAACGCATAATCAGAATCATAGTATCCTCAGAGTTGGAAGGAACTTTTAAAGACTGCCTAGTCCAATTCCTTTGCAATGAGCTGGACCATCCACAGCTACATCAGGTGAATAAGAAATAATCAATGAACATTTCCTTAGAAAGGACTGAAAGAACTGTGACTTTATTCCTTTATTTTAATTAAGGTTGTAGCTTCAACTTTGAAGATACTTTCAAAAAAACATTTTTAGCTTCATCCAAATCTTGTTGAAGTTGATGGAAAGTCTCCTGCTGAGTTCAGTAGGCTTTGGATCAAGTGCTTAGTGTCCTCAGAAATTATTTATCCAGCCCAAAAGAGGATCATTTTCTTTGAGATTATTTTAATTAACTAACAGAAATGTCAAAAAATATATTTCGTTTTTTTCCACCTGTAAAATGAAAATGTAGAGTTCTATTTGTTGAACAATATGTGATCCACTGATTTAAAGAATATGTGTGTGTGTGTGTATGTATGAAGGGGGGGCAATGTTTTGCACTGTCTTTGTAGCTTCTTATTTATTATCCATCAATAAATTCAATGGTTAGGAGACTATTAAATGCACTTAATAAGCAATTAAATGTTTAAATAATGCATCTAATCCTATCATTTTTGCCACTGAAAAACACATTTACTCATATAGGTAATAGCTCTATTCTGCATATTGCTGAATTAAAAACCAAAAATTAAAAGAGCAATTTAATCACTGTCAGTTTGAAGATTTATACAAAGTGTCACATTCTGTCACTTAGTACAAATATCACTCAGCATTTTCTGGTTTCTTTTTAGGTTTTGTTCTTTTTTTTAATTCCAAACCAGAATCAAGGTTCTGTCAAGTGCCTGCAGAGCAGTCTGTTCGATAGCTAATGTGTCAAGCTGGGTGGCTTTGCAAACAGATCATACTGTTACTTATTTATTACTCTGGGTACCTAATATTCATTACATTATTTCCCAGGCTATTTACCAATATTCTAACAATATTTAAAAGGTGTTTATTTTTGTCATTCACACTGACATCATTAAAACAAAATTTCCCCTGTGCATTTTGGTTCACACTGTAAAAACTGATTAATTAATTAAGCATCTTTTAAAAGGAGGGCCTTTCCTTGTCTGTAATTCACTCAGTACAGAGTAAAATTCTAAATACATTCTTTTTTTTATAATAATGTTATTTTCTACTTATATATATGTCTGTGTGTGCAGCTGTGCATGTGCATATATATGTGTACATAAATGCATTTAATGCTTGTATGGCTGATTCACTTTTTTTGACCTGCTCCTCCTGATCCCAATGAGGTTTAACAAGTGCACATGCAGAGTCTTGCACCTGGGGAGGAATATCCACACTCATCAGTACAGGTTAGGGGACGACCTGATGGAGAGGAACTCTGCAGACAGACCTGGGTGTTCTCGTGGACAACAGGTTGGCCATGAGCCAGCAGTGTGCACTTGTGGCCAAGAAGGTCAATGGTATCGTGGGGTGCATGAAGAAGAGTGTGGCCAGCAGGTCGAGGGAGGTGATCCTCTCCCTATATTCTGCCTTGGTGAGGCCACATTTAGACTACAGAAGAGATTATAAAAAGGAGGAGAATCAATTTTTTACAAGGGTAGTCAATGATAGGACAAGGAAGTGTGGTTTTAAGCTCAATAAGTGAAGGTTTAGATTGAATGCCAGATGGAAGTCCTTTACAGAATGATTGGTGAGGTGCTGGAATAGGCTACCCAGAAAGACTGTGGGAGCTCCATCCTCAGAGGTGTTCCAGACAGGGTTGGATCAGACCCTGGTCTACCTGGTCTAGTACCAGATCTGGAGGTTGATGTCACTGCCTGGGACTTGATGCTCCTTAGAGTTCCATCCAACGCAATTCATTTTGTGATTCTGTGGTTCTATGAAAGGCTGAGTAACCTGACTCTGTTCAGCTTGGGAAAAGAGGGCTAAGGGGTGAACATATAAATGTTTATGAATATTCTGGGAGTACTGGTGGATGAGAAGCTGGACTTTAGCCAGCAGCCTGCGCTTACAGCTCTGAAGGCCAACTGTGTTCTGGGCCACATTAAAAAACTGGTGGCCAACGGGGAGAGGGAGGTGATTGTCTCCATCTATGCCACTCTTGTGAGGCCTCATCTGGATTACTGCATCCAGGCCCAGGGCCCCCAGCAAAAGAAGGATACAGAGCTCTTGTATTGGGTCCAGAGCAGGGCCACTAAGATGATCAGAGGGCTGGAACAGCTCTCCTATGAATATAGGTTGAGGAAACTGGGATTGTTCAGCTTGGAGAAGAGAAGGCTCCGGGGAGACCTCATTGTGGTCTTCCAGTACTTGAAGGGAGCACATGAACAGGAGCAGGAAAGACTGTTTACATAGGTCAATAGTAATAGGGCGGGGGGGGGGGGGGCAGGGGTGTATCTACTAAGATAAAGGAGATTTAGGTTAGATATTAGAAGGAAGTTTTTCACACAGAGGATGGTGATGCACTGGAACAGGTTGCCTAGAGAGATTATGGGTGTCCCATCCCTGGATGCATTCAAGGCCAGGCTCTGGGCAGCCTGGTCTAGTGGTTGGCAACCCTGCCCATGGCTGGGGGGTTGAAACTATATGATCTTTGAGGTCCTTTTCAACCCAGGCCATTCTATGATTTTATGATCTCAAAGGAAGCGGGAAGCAAATGGGCAAGGCCAGGCTTTTCTTGATGGTGTGTAGCGATACCATAAGCAGTAATGGCCTAAAATTTGTACATAGGAAGTTCCATACTAGCATGCAGAAGAGCTACTTTATGGTAAGGGTGATGGAGCACTGGAACGGTTGCCTGGAGAGGATGTGGAGTCTCCTCCCATGGAGACATTCAAGACCCATCTGGACAGCTAACTTTGCCACCTGTTGTAGGGTTTCTGCTTTAGCAGAGGGATTGGACTCAATAATGTTTTGAGGTCTTTTCCATTCCTGTGTTTCTGTGATTTCCCCATTTTCCTTTGCCTGTGGTCACCCACAGTCCCCAAGAGCACTTCAGCAATTGCCAAGCGAAATGAAAGCTGGTAACTGGTGGCCGACTGTATAACCTCCCTCCTTCTGTTTTACGAATTGTGTCTCTCTGGCACCGAGGACTCCTTCTGACAGAGTGGGCTGTCCCTGTGCTCAGAGGCAGTCCTTCTGCTCCGATGAGCACCATGGCCCCTGCTCAGCTTCAGGCATTGTCCTGGCACAACTCTGAAATAGACTTGGGCAGGAAAGTTCTGTGCTGCAGAACACTGTTGCAAGCCTTCCGTATGGTGGTGGGGTTGTCACCTGCCTCTGTTCCTCTCTGGCATTACTGTGCAATTCTATCTGAATCATGACAAAAGCTGTGGGACTGCTCATTCTCCTGGTACAGGCTGGCCTCCAGCACCCACAGGGAGCAAGCGTTGCTCACTGGCCTCTCTTCTGGTATGACAGCGCTGTGCGCCTAATACTGCAGCTAAGACCTTCCTTTTGCCTTGGAAAAGGGATTGCCTCTGCCAAATCCTTCCTCTGCAATTAGCATGTGGTTTCTTTCTCCTACAATCTCAGAATCATAAATTGGAAGAGCTCTGGAAATCATTGAGACCAACCCCCCTGACAAAAGCAGTTCCTTACAGAAGGTTGAGCAGGAAAGTGTCCTGGATCAGCCCCCCCCCGCCCCCCGAGCTGCTGGCCACACTGTTTTTAACACGCCCCAGGATACCATTGGCCTTCTTGGCCTCAGGGCACACTGCTGGCTCACAGCCAGCCTGCTGTCCACTGGGACAACAGGTGGTTCTCTGCAGAGCTTTCCCCGGTTGTTACAGATGTCAGGAGGCTGAGGGCACTCTACCATAGATGCTGAAGAGTTTGCTCAGGGTGACGAGCACAAACTCCTTCGACATCTCCCGTGTGGCCTTCAGGTGGCCCTGGAGCTCAGCCATCACCAAGGAGAAGTGAGTCCGGGCCAGAGCCACCAGGACATTGCTGGCAGCCGTCCTCACGCTGTCCGTCACGCCCTGAAAAAGAGTCACTGGTGACACACGGCACAGGAGGCTGCCTGAGCCTTCCCTTAGAAGGGCTAAGCCAGCGCCATCCACCAGCAGAACACCAGCATGGGCAGGCAGCTCCCTTTGCCTTCGGGAGTGACCCCTCACCTGGGCTGCTGTCAGGTCCTGGGACACCTCAGCCAGCAGCCGGTTCACCACTCCGCACGGCGGGCGGCTGTCCTCTTCCCCCAGGACGTGCTCCAGCTCGCAGTACGCCTGCTCTCGATCACCCTGGGGACAGGGATAGGTCACGTTTTGCTTTGCCCTTGTTCCCGGGGAGCCGCCCGCTGCCACCCATCGCTTTGCCAATGTGCTGCCTGGGGCTGGCACCCACGGGACAAGAACCAGGGCAAGGACCGATGGTTGGACGTCCCCAGCTCACCTCCTGGTCTTGCAGGCGTTGCAGCAGTAAAGTCATGGCACAGACAGGGGCAGGGCTGTCCACCCTGCCTCTCTCCCTGCGACGTATACAACTGGGCATGCAGCCCACACAGACAAAGAGACCTGGAAGGAAAGAGCAGAGCAGCTGCTACTGGTGTTGCTTGGAGCCAGGAACCAAGCATCCAGCCAGTTTTGGGAGGAATGCTCCTCCAGCCTCATAGTGTGGGGTCGGCTGGCACATATGTGGTTCGGCAGGAAGAGGAAAGACAGCCTTTCCCTTGCTGGGATACTGGGAAAATCACAGTGCACTTAGCAGAGTAAGGACAGTGCTGCTGGCACGTCCTAAACAGACATTGGAGGCACACACTTGTTCAGGCAACATCATGGTGTCCAGAGAGGTGGAGGGACCTCACCTCAAAGGGCTCTCAGCCGCTCCATCACAGCAGGATGCCTCCAGACAGACATAACGCTCTCTCTGGGTTCACTTCCTGCGCAAGGAGTGTCACCTCACAGAGAATGACACGCTCTGGACTGGGGACCAGACAGCATGCAGGGTAACCTTGCTCGCCCCAAAACACAGCATGTTTCTGTGACGGCCTCAGCTCCAGGGCAGATGTGTTCTGCACTGAAGCAGGGAATCACCTCAGTGGGTGAGGGAGAGCCCCTGACAGGGAGATGCTGCTGGGTGCCATTGCCTGGCATTGTCTTAGTGACTGGGGACTCCATGCCAGGAGGCACTGAGGCCCCCATCTGCTGCCCCAACATCCTCTCCAGAGAGCTTTGCTGTCTTCCAGGGGCATATGTCAGAGACATTAAGGAGGTTAAAAAAAAAAAAAATCAGAACTAAAAACAATTAGGAAAGAAGTGTTTCCTGTAAACAGACATCTGTTTAATTTGTATTTTTCAAAAAGAAGAAACATTTTCCTTTTTTCTCCTCTACTGATCCTTAAAAGTTCAAAGGAAATGCTTGATTTGAATTCATCTACATTTATCATTCAAGTTAGTACATCTTGACAAATATATCTTCTTTCTTTCCATCTTTTGCAATCAATTTCAAAAGACAAGAGTACATTTAATTCCTATCAAAATGATTTCAAATGCAGCAAAGTCATACAGTATCTTAGCCACAAGGCTGCTGTTTGAAAGGAACATCTAGTTGTCACCCTGACCAACCTCCTGCTCAAAGCAGGAGGGCTCAGCACCACACCCTCTGTCACGGCTTTGTCTAACTTGATCTAGAACACCTTAAAGGACAAAGATTGTATCATCTCTCTGGGAATCCCATCCCAATGCCATGTCACTAGTGACTGAACTTCACCTGACATTCAAGCTGAAGCTGGCCTACCTTGTGGCTGCTCATTTACAGTGTATCATCTTTGGCTCTGTTCCCCTTCAATAGATGTATGGAACTATTAAACTGTCACCTCTTAGCCTCTTCACCAGACCGAAGAAGCTCAGTTCCTTCAACATCAAACAGGCCATGTATCCATCTTTCCAGATCATCTTCTGGGACTGGGTACCTGAACTGGACATAGTAAACTAATTACAAATTCACTGGTACTTAAAAGGGAGATACATTTTCTTTGACTGACGAGCCATTATTCCTGTAAGGTCTGCCATATGCAGCTTTTGTAGCTTATTCATTTGACTCATAATCAATCTAGTCCAACTTGCCAAATATTTCCACAGTGAGATATAGAACAAGGGTGTCTTTGAACTGCTTGCTGAGGCACAAGTTATAGTATCCTCTCCTGTAAATGATGATCAAATGTAACAGCCTTTATTTTTGTTTGTTCTTTAATGAACAAAATTAATTTCTATGAAATGATTCAATGGTTTCCACTAGCAATTCCCAGTGAAAATATTTCCATATTTTTTCCAAGTAGAATAGCTGTAGGCAGTTTCTCTGGAGAGATTAAAAACTAGCAAAAACTGTCAATTCTTTGTTTCATCTTTCAACTGAATTTAATTAAATGTGATATTCATAGAACTAAAGAATGAAGAACACTTGTTAGACTGTCACACATACTGGAAATCTATAAAGAACTTCTATAACAACAACCAAGAGAATTCCCATCAAGAGAGATTAGCGTGAAGATCTAATCTTCCTTAGAAGATAGTAAAAGACCACATTACAAGAAAGAAAAATAAATGGGAGTTTGAAAGCTGGGAAGAATCTAAATCAATAGGGAGTAAAAAAAAAAATAAGTATAGCTAAAACTGCAAAGCTGAAGCTCAGTTTTATGTTTTATTAAACATTCTGGTTCATACTGGAGTCACATCACGTGAACTACACATAAAATTTCAAATAACAGACCCATTAATCATAGATGAAAAGTTAGTGGCAAATTTAAAATATCTACCAGATATGATGATGAAGTCTTGATTTCCTGTAACAGGCTTATACTGTCCTAAGGCAATTCTCCATGGAGCCTTCAGCTTAGTCAGCATCTTGGATGTAGCGGTTAAAGTTGATGGCTTGTCCAGGTGCCAGGAAATCACCTCTTTCCTATCCCAAAAGACAGTGAACATCACTTTATCTTTTTAAGGCCACATTTTGAACTTCTTTTGAAAGGGAATTCACATGTTGGCTGCCGAGAACGTGGCCTGTCTTTCATGTCGCTATTGGCACTGCTAAAATGCAGCACCCACTGCCTCACTGTGTTCACATCCATGTTCAGTCTCCACAAACATGCAGCAAGCATCGCTGAATGTCGGTGTTATTTTTTCCTCATGGAGGAATTCAAATCCATATCTTTGCTTCATGGGAACTTCCATGTCAGACATCATTGTGTCAGACTGCCCCCCTGCTGTGTCCTGTTGCAGCTGGGCAACTCTCAGCCGGGCAGTTCTCACCCAACAGCTCTGCACCCACAGGGCAATGTACTCAGCGCCTGGTATGATGGCAGCAGATGGATGTAGCCTGTCTATGAGGGGGAAGAGGATCTTAGCTGAGGAATTAGCAGGACTCATTGACAAGTCTTTAAACTAGGTACGAAGGAGGAAGGGGGCAAAATCAGGGATGCTGGGGTTGAGCGGGTCGTTCGAGAGCTCGTACCGAACTTGATGGGTGATGACAGTGAGGTACAAAGGGATGGACTGGGGCAGGTGGGTGCTGGGGATGCTGTTGTTCTAGGGGAACCTAGATCCTCTATAAAGGCAGTGAGATGGAAAGCCCAGCTGTAGTGCCTTTATACCAGTGCATGCAGCCTGGGAAATAAGCAGGACAAGTTGGAAACCATGATGCGCTTAGAAAGTTATGACCTTGTTGCTATCACGGAAACATGGTGGGATGACTCCCATAACTGGAATACCAGCACTGAGGGCTATCAGCTCTTTAGAAGAGATTTGATGGGTGGACTACTCAATCGATAAGAAACTGCTTGAAAGGCCGCAGACAGAGGGTGGTCATCAATGGCTCTATGTCCAGGTGGAGGCCGGTAACGAGCAGTGTCCCCCACATGTCTGCCTTGGAACAGGTGCTCTTTAACATCTTTATCAATGACATCAAATGAGGGAATTGAGTGCACCCTCAGCAAGTTTGCATACATCTGCATACATCTTTGTTCAGAGTGAAGGAACTGGCTTTTTGATTGTCTAAAATATTGTGGTGATTTGTTTTTTTTTCAACAAACAAAAAAACAATACAGAGGACGTAAAATACAACAAAACAACCTTTAAACTGCTAGAAGGGAGGTAAGTATAAAGCCATAACAGGAAACACTTTCAGCTGCATTAGTAAAGTATCAAAACTGAGATGTTCTAGGTGGTTACCTAGAGCCAGCAGTGTGCCCAGGTGGCCAAGGCCAGAGCACCTCAATACAGAAAGGACATTGAGGTGCTGGCTGGAGCAGGTCTAAAGAAGGGCAATAAGGCTTGTGAAGGGCTTGGAGAATATGCTCTACGAAGAGAGACTGAAGGAAACTGGGGCTGTTCAGTCTGGGAAAAGGCTGACGGAAGACCTCAGAAGACATAAAGAAGTCTTCCAGGAAGACGGAAGACATAAAGGGTTGTTAAGCACTGAAATAGGCTCCCCAGGGAGGTGGTTGAGTCACCATCCCTGGATGTCTTTTAAAACCGTTTGGATGTGGTGCTCAGGGACATGATTTAGTGAAGGGTTGTTAGTTAGGGCAGTATGGTTAGGTTGTGGTTGGACTTAGTGATCTTTAAGGTCTTTTCCAACCTGAGTGGTTCTATGATTCTACCTCAGCATTGTGGATTAATTTCCAGGTTTGTCAGGCTTCTTACATGTTCCTGGAAAATCATTTATAAATCAAACTTAATCTCAGTCTGCACTTCTGTGTTAGAAAACTAAAGCAAGCCCTGCACCACCTTCTCCTGCCCCCGTGCCAAAGAGTGTTCCAGTAAAACACCTGGCAATCTATGACAGCATGTAAGGGTCAGTATCAATTCTAAAGGAAGGAATAGCTCTGAAGTGGAATGAATGCATTTCCTTGCAACACTGTCCAGCTAGCAACTAAAAGAATTACTACTACTGATTTGGACTTGAAAATTAGTGCTACTTTTAACTGGTATTTTCTTCTTCTCAGGTCTATTGTACATCCCAGCATTAAGTCAAAACTTAACAGAAAATAAACCTATTCATTTCTGAGAAAGAATAAACAAAACCATTATGAAACCCCGTTTTTTTCACATCAAATATCTGTGATGTCACTGACTTGGTGTTGTGAGTTTTTTTTTTTTTTTTTTTTTTTTTTTGGATGGATCTGAATTGTTTTTCCTGACTCAGTTGTTTCTGTTACAATAAAAATGACAACATTCTCCAGCTTGTCATGACATGTTCTGTGATCCAGTGCGTAAAAAAGCACATCATAGTCTGAATGTCAGCAAAGTATGATGTACCAGCTTGAACTTTCAGATGGCAAGAAATTCAGTATGTGCATGGAAATAGAATATCATGCATTTACAATCAGAATTGACAACGATTTTCCTGTAATTCAGTTCTTTCTGTAGAGCTGAACAGTAATTTGATTTTTCATTTTGTTAAAATTTTGAA